CAGCCAGTAATTTTTGTTCTCCTGCTTTACCTTCTTTTTGTAATTCTCAGTTGACACATGCTATATCTTCTCATTTTGAGTGGCCTATTATCAACCCTCTCATTGACTCTCTTTTATTCTGAGTACTCTTGGATCATTTCTTCATCTGTGAGACCCTTGGTTTCTACAGCTAATTCAGTTTGGTCTTCACTTTAACCTCCGGCATCCTCCTTCTGTTGGATCATTTCTTCATCTGTGGGACCCTTGGTTTCTACAGCTCATTCAGTTTGGTCTTCACTTTAACCTTCGGCATCCTCCTTCTGTTGGATCATTTCTTCATCTGTGGGACCCTTGGTTTCTACAGCTCATTCAGTTTGGTCTTCACTTTAACCTCCGGCATCCTCCTTCTGTTTTTTTTCTTTTCCTTTGGATCCTGTTTGCATACAACTTTTGGATCAGACACTCTCAGATCTTTATCTGAAAGGAACAATCGATATCATTCATCATGCTTCACAGCTTTTTACTCCCGTCTCTTTATAGCTAAAAAAACCAAAAGCAGAGTGGAAACCTATCATAGCCCTATCTCAAATTAGTCTTTACCTTGATACAACTCCTTTCAAAATGGAAAACATAAGGATTATTATGGAAATTTGTTTGTCGAAGCTTTGAAGGACAAAGGTAGATGTACAAGAGGGTTATCTTCCTATTCCTATTCATCCTTCAGCATATCATGTTCTTTGTTTTTGTCATTGAGATGTAGGGTATCAGTTCATTGTCCTTCCCTTTGGCTCCAAGCATTTTCTGTCGAGTTGTCAAAACATTTATTGGTCTTCTTTCTCCTCTTACCTTAACATCCACTTTTATATGAACAAGCGGCTTATTCTTACCCTTTCTTTCACTCAGCATCTTACATACTCACTTGACTACCCAACTGGCTACATCTCTTGAGTGAATCATCCTCAACTTTAAATACTTTTTTGTATCAACACACTGTTTAATACATTTGTGATTTTAGGTCAACATGATTCAAGGAACACTTGAGCCATCTTTTATACATTGGAGTCTCATGTTCACACTCTTCTGTCCTCTACACTTACCTCCAAAGACAGTCTTCATTCTATCTGCTTTGGTGATGATATCCTCACTTCACAGAGTCATTCCCTCTCCAGTTGATCCTAGCGTCTCTGTGGCATCTGGCATCAGCCCATTACTATGGAAGAAAGATCTCTTTTTCTTCATTTTTCTTTGAAGTTTCATTTTTACAGCTACATCTCTCAAAGATTGGAGAGCTGACCAATTAGTGGTATTTGCTAATTAATTAATACACCACACCCTCTACAACCTGTTGAAGCAAAAAAAAGTATATGCTTGTTGTCTTAACCTTTTCAATCATTGCAATATTCTAACAATATTCTGATGATGACAGAACCTTGTCGAAACATTGTACATTTGCTGTTATGTTAAAATTATATCAAATTTTTTTTTCATTACCCATTCAAGCCATCTCCAAGCATCATTATAGTGTGTGTATATATATTCCTGTGTCTGTTTAAGCTACTTAAACCTGATGATGACAAAACCTTCTCCAAACATACATTTGCTACAGTGTTAAACATTTAATAAAGTTTTCTTTGTTACCAAATCAACCGATCTCTAAACTGTATAAGCTTACCTATTTTATTTCAATTTATCTGATGTCTTCTCACTGAAGACAATTTGTGTTGTTTTCAAATAGATGTAATTTAACAAACAAACACTTTCATAATTCACAAGAAAAGTGACATTTACAGAAACTGAAAAAACAAAAACTTTTAAACCTATATGCATTTACTCTGTTGATACGCTAGTCTAATTTTTGTTCTATTTAAACTCTCTTTATAGCTATTTTCAAAATTGTGTTGTATTATTAAATTGTTAAACCACTTGATGTTGCACCATAACATAGTTTCAAACAAGATCTGTACAAGAACTAAGGGACGTGCTTGAAAATCAAGAATTGGATAATATATTCTCAAGGGTAGTAGATTCTTAGTAAAAATAAAGTTCTTCTTTGGGATGGATGGGAAAATGATTAAAATATCGACAAGTAGATTATTTTATCTACAGGTAAAACTCTTTGCAGCTGTGTAGAAATGAAAATATGATTCTGACAAGGTACCTTACTTCATCTCACATACATAGCTATTCTCATTCAGTGCTGCCCTCTATTTGCAAACCTCTACCAGTAGTAGTGCCACACACCCACGTGACTTGTGTGACTCCCTCTTTGCTATTCTACTTAACTATCATTTCTCATTTTGCAGTGCTTGTGTTCAGACGTTTAGTTTGTGCTATCTTCAAGTTGTTTTTTTTTTTTTATCTTCGTATCATTTTCTGTCACCAAGTTTATGATTTATTATACAATAGTGATATTTGTAACTTATTCCAAAGTGGAATTATTTTATATTTCTACCCAGTTATGGAACTTAATGCTTCATTACAAATTTTCTCTACTTTTTATTTCTTTCTGCAAACGCAATTGTGTTTTATTATTCATTTTCAATATGAATTCCAAATTCTAAGTTACCACTTCGGAGGTTATATCTTCTATCAGCACATTTGTTGTTGTTGTTCGTCCTTCGAAGTTCGAAGAAGACCACGACATCATTTGGTCTATC